AGCATTATCATATGACTTGCAATTACCAGAGAATAGGAGTCACTTGAAATTATTCACAAAATGATTTCATTAATATTAAACGGTAACTAATACTTCAAGCTTTTCTCACTGTGTTCTAACTTCGATTGTAAACTATTTCAAGGGGTAGATGAAATGGAGTATTTATTTATTCCACGTAAAGTGATGTATAAGGCTTGGGCTGTTTGGACTGAAATGAGAATTTTTAGGTGAGTAGGAATTGCATTTTATATTCTCGTAGAAAAATAAAACATTTGATTCAATTATCAGGTTCAACGAACAGTCAGTATTCCTAATCGAACCAGACGCTTCTGGACCTTCCAAAAGTTATTGGACCCTTTTCACTCTTGATAATAAATTATTTCTTGAAATTGCCCATAACATTCCCCTTTATCTTATGGAAGAACTATCATTTTTGGGTCGTTACATTTTATTTTCAATGAATTGTATTTTCTGTATGTTTCAATACACGGGAAAACTTTTTTTTTTATCGAAAATCATCATTTTTTTACACCTAAATTTTAGTCAATGCCGGACATTTTTTTTTCCATTCCTAAGATGATCAATTTTTGCAATGAAATCAAATTTAAAAAGCGCAATACGTAGATAGGTGAAAATATCAATCTATCAAAAGCAGAATTAAATTTTTTAAGTTCTTTTTCGTAAAGGTGGAGATCACGATTTTAATTTTTCATGAAAAAACTGGTTTACTAGTGACTAAATTACTGGAAAATTAAACAAAATATTGACTTGCAGAAAATACCGGCTATGGAAATTATTCAAACGATTACCAAAGATACTGGACAATTTTGTAGTACGAAAGCCGAATATTTCGGACGTGACAATGAGCATCATGAATACACAGAACGGAAAGAAGTGCATCAAACAATTACGAATTGTTTAAAATATTCCAAATTTGCCTTGATCATCGGTAAATGCCTCATATTTCTCTGGGTAAGTGACAAGACCTAAATGTATAAGGTACCAATACTACTTTTTTGATATGAGAAACGGCTTACTTACCTAATTGAGTTGTAAAAATGTAAAAAGAGATCAATTCATTTCACTCCAAGATCCATGTCATATCAATCACTTGCAATTCGGAAAAGGAAACTGAATGGGAACCAAATAATATAAATAATAATTATAAAAATTTTAGGACTGAATTTACACATCTTATATTACAAAGTCTAGTGAACTGTTATTTCACAACTCCGTATTTGACTATCCTCGCTGATCGAATGTTCAATTTTTAATATGAGATTTGAAAATTAAATTCAAAAAGGATAAGAGAAATTAAAATAAAAATTCACATCACACAGAAACGATAAATCACATAGCTCCAACAACAAAATTTTACCGTTAGTCGATAAAATTGCATCCTAACGACTCCTACGAGTAATTTTCTGTTGTTCATTAATTTAGGGTGATTATTTTTAAGACACCCCAAATTTAATCAATTTTTTAAAATTATAACCATATAAATAATTATCCAAATATTAACTCCTATGCCTTATTATGAAATATAGTGCAAAATAAATCATAACTACTGTAAACAATTTGAAAAAATACAGTGCAGCCAATAGACCGTAGTCAAAATAGTCAATATTCTAACGGTTTTTATACGTTGACATGATTTATAAAAGGAATAAACATTAATTGCATACATAACCGTCTTAGTACAATTAAAAAAACCCTTCGTTATCAATTTGAGTCCGTTTCGACATTAATAATCCACTAAACAAAACAGCGATTTTTTCTTTAAATAGACTCCAGGTCTGGAATTCGGCACTTTATGATTATTGTTCGAATAATACAAGAAATATTGAAGTATGAGTCTGATTATTAGTATATATCTATGAGAATACATTATACAAATTCCTACCGCTGAAAAATTAATGTTTCGATTTATATTCAGGTATAACATATCTCGGAGAGAGTCATGGCGATGTTGCTGCCAATGGGAAAAGATCATTATAAAAATCTCGCTTCAATAAAATTCACCAAACAAATAAATACACAATTGACAGGTACACTGATGCAAATTGATGATGCGAACTGTTTAATATATTAGAATAACCATTAATCAATGTAGCTTTTGTTATAGGCTAGATATACGTGCATCAGAATGCCGCGAGCCCCCGCTGTAACCCACGACGAGGCTGTGGCACTTGTCGAAAAATTTATTGATCATTTCAAAACATCAAATGGTCCACCATTCAGCTCACCAATTTGGAAAGAAATGAGTAAGGCTGTAGGGGGAAGGTGGCAGGCTACAAATATCTACAATACCCTCCGACAGAACCGAAATAATATTGTCACTGAGGCCAGGGCTAATAAGGGAGTTTCTGTAAAGGAAACCCCTGTTGCTGACATTGCAAATCATACAATAGATTCTACGTTTGATGAGTCTCTACCACTTGATGAAGATAATGACGATCCTTATGAATTTGAACTGAAAGCAAAGGGACTCGATGTGTTCAATCTCTACTTTTCTCACGCAGTGTGGCAAGAGATGCTTGGGACTCCAATCCTGTATAATGATGGAAGAGTTTACTCTATCCTTGCACGAGAAAAGTGGGCGGGCCTCTTGTCCCTTATTATTTTCGATCAAACACAGCTTCCCTGCGCCTACGTCTTCGAGAATGCAAAAATTTACAATTCTCCTGATAGTTTGCATTACTGCCGAATAACGGGACACTGTCGGAGCAAAGCATGCGGGAATCCACTTTTTTGCTACATTGAAAAGCCCCCAGGAGATGCCGATAAAATACATATGATACTGAGGACTAATGAAACTTATTATAATGAGCATGAGAACGTCAAGCGAGAACTGCGAGGATGGTTAAGGCAGCATGTAGGTGAAAATGTATATTTTATGGGAGCTGGAAATTGGCAGAAAGAAGAAGCTGTGAGAGTGGCCCCATTCGGTGGACGCGTAGGACCCAACATCCCTAACATGAATGTCTTACGTAAGGGGAAGAATGAGTTTATAAACAGAAAATATGACATAAAACCTGGTGAAGGGAAAGATATGGTGAAAACTGTGGAACAAATGCGCTATTCGGAACCCTACAATAGTTTTATTCATGAAGTGAGACGGGATAAGTTCTATGTGTCCTACAGTACTTATGGTCAGATGCTTGCGTATAAAAAATATTGTAAATTAATGGGGGATGATGCTGCTGTGGGAATAGATGGCACAGGGTCTCTGATCAAGAAGTTTCGACGTTTGGATGGAACTAAGGTGGGCCATATCTTTCTCTACTCAATCACCATAAATCATGGCGGACGTACGATAGCCGTACATGGAACGTTAACAGAGGGACAAGACGCTGACACTTTCACGTATTGTCTTCGTCGCTGGGTGAAGTTGGGTGCTCCCACTCCTCCGCAAGCTTCATGTGATCGATGGAGGGCTCTAATGAATGCTGTGTGTTCAGCCTTTCACGACATGCCAATTACAGTCTATATAGAAATAATGTTTCAGCGGGCTCTGAACCACCATGATGATGTCAACTATCCACCCATTTATTCCTTTTTACGTGACGATGTAGCACACCTAATGATTCTTGTGACTAAGCAAGAAACTTTCAAGAAAATCCCATTTGCAACTGTCAGGCATATGTATCTTTATTGTCTTGCTCTTTTAATTGATGCACAGAATCTTCAGCAGTTCAGAGAAATCTTCTTATTGACTCTCACAATAGGTCTACACAAATCAGACGATACTGTGATCAAAGCCATTCCTGGGGGGACTGTCGCTCAATGTAGGGAACAGTTGGAGAACTACATTGCTACTCGTAAATTCGCTTTTGATGCTGAGGAGTTGACAGAATATGCGATGAAAGCCTACAACACCGAGAAAGATGATTCTGGTGAATTTAGGAACAGCGGGAAAAGTCCCATCGCTGATTGGATCAACGATCTTCGGAACACAGTAGAGTATCCCAAAGAAAAATGCAATAAAGAATCAGGGAAATTGAACGTCTGTTACGCCAAAGAATACATTGATTATCTAGTTGACCTCGCCATGGAATTCTCAGTTTGGTCTGCAGCAGCGATACCCCGGAATGTTGGACACTCCACAACGGCTTTCACAGAAGGTTTTTTCAATGATTTGAAGCACCGAGTGAAAAATCATCCTGGGAGTAGTCGAGTAAATTTGTTCCTCAAACGTATGTTTGTCAATAACTCCGCAGGTGTCACATTTTTTGTAGATGAAAACAGAAACACAGCCAGCAAAAAACCCCCAGATCCACCAGGCGCACCCTCACATTCACCAAGAGCACGATCAACGTCTCCTACAGAGATATTATTAAGAGTCTCCTACAGAGTCTCCTACAGAGATATTATTGAGATATTATTAAGAATATGTGAAGAAGTTAGGAATAATTACGCACATGATCCGTATACTATTTTATTATATTTAAGATTAAGAATCACAGGAATATGAGGGGAAGCAGACTGAGAGGAAATATCTAGAGCGAAATTTTGATCAACAATCAGCTTCTGATACATTTCTGTTGATATAATGAACATTGTTGACATCATGAAGCAGAAGAGATAACCTAAATCATTATCGATTGGTGAGGAGAAAATCAATGGTTCACATCCACCTACCATTGAATTCCGTGATATTCATAGATTATTCATCAAGATCAAACGTTTTCTTGGTGATTAACGATAAAAAAATGATGAAAAGTAAGTCAGAGAAATGCTCCTGAATGACTCTAACCTTAATCTCCAAATTATGAGATAAGTCATTGTTCAATCATCAGTAAGAATAATTTTCAACCTACAAAAAATCAATCAGAAGGGCCATAATTCGATTTATGGCAATTGAATCTCTTCTTTTCTCATAATTTGAGTTTGTAGGACATGTGGCTTCTTCCCACCGAGCTTTACAGTTTGCCGACGAGGAGGCAATAACTTTTTTCACATCTCCGAACGTGGAAGGAAAATTAGTTTTTTACACTTTACCATTATTTACTCAATTGATATTTATGGGCTATCAATAACGAGCAAACGATTTTCTAACGATTTCTGATGAAAAAATTTCAAAACTGTAAGGTCGGGGGTCAATTAAAATTTTATTGGAGATGAATTTTTGGAATTAAATGTTTAAAAAAGTAATGAGTATCAAACGTTGATTATTAACGAGCAAATACCAGCATAACTCCAGCAATTGAACAAAAATCGGAAAAAACGGAAAAGTCATATGAGGGGGAGTAACTGCACGGAGCTCCCCAGCACGCTGCAAGACTCCAAAAGAACTGTAAACTCTTCAAGTGCAGCATTCGGCAGCTCCAGCATCACGAGTCAAGCGTATGTGGACAATACTGTATACTTTTTCTGCATTGTATGTCTATGTTTGCTACTCCTGAGAAGTTCTATTCATTATTCACTGATCGATTCATATCGAATGATCGTCTAGTGCGCGATTATCACAATACGTTTATGAAGAAAAAACGTGCTAGTATCCCCGAGAGAAAGTTGTTTAGTGGCCGCGGTTATAATTGTTCGTCGTGGAATCAAAAATGTAAGTAGTCCATAAGAAAAATGTGTAATTCATGCGTCATTATTTTTTTGGGAAAAAAAAAATATAATGTAACGTGACATTTTCGTATGGGGGTTGAAAATGCCCGTCACCTTCGACCTTTTTCTCCAAAGCCTAACCAAACCTGCTAAAATTAAATCAAATGGGCGCTAGGTAATTTTTAGCCGGAATTAGAAAACCGGAAAATCAATAAAACTAGCTTAACCCATTTCCATTGTCTCTATTAACCCTCGCGAACTCAAAAGAAAACATTTTTCCAAAAGGGAACAGAAAAGGAAAATCAGGCTCCGGAGAAAGGTAACGGTCCTGGTTCGCTCAGTGTGCGGGTGATGGAGAGAGGGGTGGATCTTGCGTGGAAACGGGGTATTTTGGGCATGCCTAATCATGGGTTAAATCACCATGCAAATCAAATAAAAAGAAAGATAAATGAAGTCTCCAAAAAAATATAATTTATTCAACTAATATTTTGAGTTAATTCCAAAAACATGCGACTAGAAAAATTAATTATTAAAGTTATTATGCGTAGCCCCTCCTTGTTACCATCGAAATTTTTCCCGCACAAATTATCGCTCGGCGAATAATACCTTATTCCTAATTTTAGCGCGCCGGGAAATCAGTGATTTCCCGGAATTCCTGGGAAATCCTCAATTAGCCCAGCATTATCAACCTGACATGCCGGGAAACTTTTAACTACTCAAAAAAAAGGAAAAAAAGAAAAAAAAAGCAACAAAAAAAAGTGTCGACTCCTCGGACTCGAGCCCACTCTGCTCAGATCTGAAGAGAGTGAGAGAGAGGGACAGCCGCTGACCACCGCTGGCCGTGGAAAATTCGCCCACCTGAAAATCGCTCTTACAACTTAAAATTTTGGTAGATTTCTGGAAAACTGCCCACTGGCGTGGCCAGGGCAGCCCCTAGTATTTTGGGGAATCATTAGCGAGGGAGAAACTCCCTCGAAACCTACTTAAAATGGAACATGAAATTTAGCCAAAACCGGGGTCCCTATTGTTGCTCAAAACCCGCACTAAACGAGGTAAATTCCCTCGAAATCACCAACGAACATGATCAGGGGAGCCCCTAGTATGTTGGGGAATCATTAGCGAGGGAGAAACTCCCTCGAAAGCCACTTAAAATTCGTAATTCGTAATTTAATTCCCTAACTTTTAGTATTTTCTTCTTTAATATCCTAATCTATTTCCTCTTTTAATTTCATGGGCGATCGGAGCCTTATTAATCACTTCTCCCGAGGAGCATGAGTACTAAAAATCTTTCTTTCTTCACCCATAAATCTAAAATTTAGTATTTCCTACTAATTTCGAAAATTATTAAAAGGTCAATTCAATCACTAACCCGTAAGCAACCTGGCAATCCGGGGCGAATAAGGGTTGCACTTATTCCCCCCGACCTTCCACCGAAAAACAGAAACGTAAGCGCAAACGTAGTCCTAAACTCATGCTTCCCCTAAATCGGAACGCCAATTTTCCATTGAACTTGTGATATTTTATTTGACTGACCGGATGGCTCAATTTTTGGCCCTTCTTCACAGCCTTTTAGGTCCTTCCCCCTAGCCCTAGACCCTAATTTCCTAGTCTAACTAAACCAGGGGCTCGGTGCCCCTGGAGGCGATGATCCCCGTAAATTCTGTGAATGGTATTGGGGGGGTTTCGTCATCCCTAACGGACATCCCCACATGTCCGTTACAATAATTAATAAGTGAAATTCTGTGTTTTTATGTCCCCAGTGTGATAGCCACTCTGACGCATCCACAGCATTCACAGTTACTCCCACCCCACCGCTCACTCATGTTGGAGTCGCGCCATCCTGACCAGTGCAGTGGTGGGGTTTGAGTAACTCTGGGTGGGGGGCGCCTTAGTGGTTCTTACACTACTTCCAGGGCAACGACGATGTATCTAGTTTGTGGCTGAATAAACGCTGATCTGCATCTGAGGGGTTTTGCACGGGATCATCCGGTAGAGTTTTAGTGACCCTTTCTCCATTAATGGTATCACGATGATGGCGATGAATTTTCCCTCCGAGTGAAGTAGGGGGATATTGCTGATTCGTGAGAGTAGGCCTAGATCTGGGTTGACTGTGTTGATTGGTAAATCAGCCCCCAAGTTCCTCGTTTCCAACTGTCTAGCCATTTGTGCCAGTTGTTCATGTGTGAGTAGGTCTGCGCTGATTTCCCCCTGTTTGGCATCCTCGATTGCCCTAGTGGGTCTTCCTCAGGATATCGATGTACTGAGTTCTTGTCTCAACGACTAGGGAGCCTACGTGGGTGAACTGGAACATTGCTTCTAATCTTTCAAGTCGGTCGAGGGATCTCTGTAGTCCATTCGCAAGCATAACAGCGTCTTTCCGCAGGATTTCGATGTTCGTATTGGTGGTAATGAGATATTGCCTATTCTGGTCTATTTCTGACTGGATCATGTAAATGCTTTCATTCATCACCTTAGCTAACTGCTCTTTATCTTCATACAGCTGTTTGACTTATTGTTACGTATTCCCCCGAATTTCCATGAAAAATAATAAATTTATTTTCTACGGATCATAGGGAAATTACTGATGAAGTTTGGGACAAATTTGACGAGAATTTAGGGAAGTCGTCTTAAAGCAATGGCCGCCGAGCGGTAGTCGACCGTCGCTTGACTTGCCGTTACTGGGTTGGGTTGGAACTTCTCGTTTTATCGTCCGT